AAGATTTTTTCATTTGGCATAAAATTGCATGAAAAAGAAAAATAATATCAATTTCATATTGTATTTAAAAAATAAAAAAAAAAATTTACTTTTTGTAAATTTTAAATCGGATAAAACATGGTAACCGATTAGTTCTACAACAGTCATTTTTTTTTTAAGTTTTTTAAAAATGTAGAGTAATTTGAAAAATATGTAAAATTTATTGATTTTTATTTAATTAATAAAAAAAACGAATTTTTTGAATAAATAATTCTAAAATATCAATTTCTCAACTAAAAAAAATTTTGTGAATAAATTGAAAAGTACATAATTATTATTTATTATATTTGTTAAAATGTATGGCATGATGACTGCCCTTTACATTTTTTCTTATATACTATTGGATAGTTAAACTGCTTATTTGGCTAACAATTTAATTAATTTATAAACTGCACTTTTTAATTTTAACTTTTAATGAGAAATAAAATTTATCTGCAACTATAACAATGTTAATAAACTCTCTTATGGAGTAATGAAATCACTGCACTTTGTACAACGATCGCCTGCTGACTATTGCAAACGGACTAGCTCATCTTCCATCGCTGTGCCCCCTGCCTTGACTAGATTCTCAAATCTTTGGATATATTCACAAATTTCTTTTATTGGATCACCTCGTAGAGTCTGCATTAGGAGCCAGTCGAAGTCTGCCTCTACTCTTCCGCCACACCACCTCTCTATAAAATCTACTATCTTCTCGTTCGCTGCAGCTTTTAGGCTTCTGCACCTGAAGATATGCTCCAGGGTTTCATCTTCGTTCTGGCACAATCTACACTGCCAGTCTTTGAAGCCTTTTTTACCTTCTCTCACTATATTGCCACACCTGATTCTGCACCACACCTCCTTTATCCAGCCTGGTATTCTACTGTCTACCCAGTATGGCTCGGTACCCATGGTAGTTTTTATAAACTTGTACCTGCGATTAAAAGTCGACTCCATGATTTTTTTGTCATCTTCCAGTTTCGTTTTACTCGTCAGGGAATTTAAGCCTGCCATCAGTCTCTGCTCAATCTCATACCGCCTTGTATCTCATCCCACTTCCACCAGCTTCCTGCCACTTCGGCTCTTAAGTAGCTTCTTCTTGCCAGTGTACCCTTCTTTCTGTAAGCTCTAATCTCTCTTTCAAGCCATTGAATGATTTCTGCTTCTCTCTTTGTCAAATCATCATCCAACCACAGATCCATGCCTCTCAGTTTCCCTTTCTCCGCCATCAGTTTTATATTTTTATCGAGTGAGCTCAACTTTAACACCTGACATTCTCCCATTCCCATTACTTCTTCTATGTTGATGTCGACAGCTAGCTGAGACTTAAGAAGTAATTCAAACTCCTCCTTGTGTTTCAAGTTTTTTTGCGAGCTCCCCTCTTATCACTACATTGTTCCTTCTGTCAGCTCTTTTTTCTCTCTCCACTCTCCACTCGCCCCAGCTGATTCCGTCTGGTTTCGTGATCGTGGTTAGCTTCCGATGAGTGCCAAAATAACTTCTACTCTGTGACTTAACTGACTCCACCGATTCGCTGCTGCTATTACTTGGGGTATCATTTGGCTTCTCCCCACCGTTGTTTCTTTGCACCTCCTCTGCACTCGGTATCATCCCCTGCACTGATAGGCTGGCAACTGTTTCCTGCGTAGGTCTGGGCCTTACAGGGGGAGAGGATCCGGACTTACTCGGGATCTTTTTTGTTGTCTTCTTTCTCGTTCTGTTGTTCCTAACCTCTAAACCTTCATTCAAAACTACTGTCTCGAAATGCTGGTCCGCGTCCTCCCAGGGATCCGGTGGAGAAATCTCACTGCTTTGTGTGACTTCACTGAGCAAACTCTGTTTCTGTGGCGCCACTAGATCTCCTTGGGAATTCGTCCTGTCTTCTTTTCTTGCATTAAGTGCCTCTAGGATCTCATGCCTTAGCATCTCCAACTGGACCGTATTTTTAACTTCCATTTCCCTGATTCTGACTTCCGACGTACGACAGCATTTACACGAGCAAGTTTCAACAAACTGCTCCAATCCATCCTCCTCTTCATATTCTCCGTTTGCTAGGACCTCTGGAGTCTCGGAGACCTTCTGAACAGGATCTTGAGTGGTTTCCTCTCTGTCCAAAGTACAATCCAGGGCTGCATTGGGCACCGCTTGGCTGGTCCCCGAGATTACAGGTTCCCCCACCCCCGAGTTGGCTGTGACATCAAGCCGAGCCAACTCCTGCACTTGCTGGCTTGCCGGGATAGCTGGAGGAGCTGTTAACCTGCTAGGTGATCTCATTAACTTGCTTTTGGACTGAAACACCACTTTTTCTTGCTCTTTCGGGAAGTTGATGCGAGCCACACCTGCTTCCGTAGACTTCAGATCTGAAAAACTTTTACTTCTTTTTCTCCCACCGTTGGGGGCCAAATTTCCGACTTCTTCACTGCTTACTGGCGCACTGGACGTCTTGGATTGTGGCACTAGGTATTTTCGCATGTTGTTCTCCTTTACATCTTTTTTATCTTTTTTAACCTGCTGCTTAGTCGTCTTATTTTTACTGCCTGGTGGCCTACCTCTGCCTCTTTTCTTCTGTTTGTTTACTTGTTCACCTGTCATCTCAGGTTCACTGACAGTACCACTGTACTCCCCCTCTGAACTCGCATCTTCGAACACTGCCTCCACCGTTTTGTTTACATCGCAATTGGCGCCTGGGTTGCCAGCTTCCATATTTGCTCCCCTGGCGTCGCCACTAACGGGGCCCCAAACATGGCTGCCGTCCCCTGGCTTTTTGCCGGTATCTGTCTGCATTTTCACTAGCTTCCCTCGATGAGGATTCTCAATTAAATCGAAAGATCTATTATTCACTTTGAACCTCTTGGACAGCTTGCTCAGTTTGACCTAATCACGTAATTTATCGCCTTCGTTAAACTGCTAATTTCACTAAAAAAAACACGGAAGCCTCGTACACACGATGTGCTCACCACGGTCGAAAAGTACATAATTAATTGAAAAGTTTTAGAGTAACTTTGAAGATTTTTTTTTAAATTCATACATTTTACCTTTTTATAATTTATACCGTAAATCTGCCATTAAATATATTAAATAAAAAAAGTCAAAAATGTTGCGTTGTAGATGCCATAAGGGCGTCTAAAAATTATACGCCCTTATAGTACCCGCGAACTATAAGAGCGTTTAATAAAAGTTCAATTTTTTTTTTCAAAGTCCAAAATAAATTTTTAGTTTGTAAAATTTTTTTTTTCATTTCTCGACGTTTAAGGTAAAAATAAGTTAATTATTTTAAATTTGACCCACCTCGGATGCCATAAGGGCGTATAAAATAATTTTTTTTTTTTTGGCAACCGATGTATTTTTGTATGAAACGTGTAGAAATGCAAAAAAAAAATTTTTCTTCAAACTAAAAATTTTTTTAGACTTGAAAAAAAAAAACAGAATTTTTATTATTACGCCCTTATGACTTCCGAGATGGCTTCAAACTGAAAAATTTTTTTAAGACTTGTAAAAAAAAAACAGAATTTTATTATACGCCCTTATGACTTCCGAGGTGGGTCCTGGGAGCCATAAGGGCGTATAACTTATTTTTACCTCAAACGTCAAAAAATGCAAAAAAAAATTTTTTTTGGACTTAAAAAAAAATTGAACTTTTATTACACGCTCCTATGGTTTCCGGGTGCTTTAAGGGCGTATAATTTTTATACGCCCTTATGGCATCTGTAACGCAATATTTTTAATTTTTTTTTTTTAATATATTTAATGGCAGATTTACGGTATAAATTATAAAAAGGTAAAATGTGTGAATTTAAAAAAAAATTTTCAAAGTTGCTCTAGAACTTTTCAATTAATTATTTACTTTTCAATTTTTCACAGAATTTTTTTTGAATTGAGAAATTGATATTTTAGAATTATTTATTCAAAAAATTAATTTTTTATTAATTAAATAAAAATAAATAAATTTTACATATTTTTCAAATTACTCTACATTTTTAAAAAACTTAAAAAAAAATGACTGTTGTAGAACCAATCGGTTACCATGTTTTATCCGGTTTAAAATTTACAAAAAGTAAATTTTTTTTTTATTTTTTAAATACAATATGAAATTGATATTATTATTCTTTTTTAAACAATTTGATGCCAAATGAAAAAATCTTTTGTGCATGATTTATCAATTTATCATGAAATGTAATTTTCAGTTATTTATTCATGTAGTATTAAAATTATTTGAGAATTTTGGAAAAAATTAAAATAATCAATGAAATATTTATAAATCTGATAACATTATTAATAAGTTACAAATAAAAGACATCACCATGGAGCAATCACATGTTCCGCACTGTCGAAACTAGTATTATAAGTCTTCGATAGATGGCGCATGACCGCAAAAACTGTTCCTTTCTAGATACTTGACTCTGAAGTGTTAAGTTCCGAAAAAAGTAGAATTTTCGTACTCTAATGCAGAATGTATATGTTTTTGAATAAAGTTGTACAAACAACGAAAATGAATGTTGTATTAACTTTATTACAATTATAAATTTATTTATCAATTTTACTAAGGCTTCAGGTTTGTCTACATCATGATATGGCCATATCAACCCTGATATAATTAGATATGATTAGATCTGGACAGTTTTTGGATCTAATTATATATGATTATACATGATTATATATAAGCATATCTGTTCATATATAAGCAGATCAAGTTATGTATAATGAGACCTGGCCAATTTTTGGATCTGATCATATATAGACGATTATGCATGATTATATATGATTAGACAAAATCTTTTTTCATCGGGTAATTAACAACTGACATTGCTATCTTGTCAACTATTAACATTTTCAAAGATATAAGCTCATCCCGACATTACACTCATCAAGACCTTTCATTTGAGTACCCACATCAATTTTTCATATATTTTATATATTTATATATATTACTTATATGTATATATGATAAATATATATCAAAATGCATGTGGGTACTCAGATGAAAGCTCTTGATGAGTATGACATCGGGATGAGCTTATATCGTTAAAAACGTCAATATTTAAGAAAGTACAGTGGAATTTATTATGATAAATTTTCGAAGTAGTTATAAATAGATTAGAATTTCGCGATAAACAAAATTTGTTTATTTATTTATTTTGTTTTGTACATGTCAATGTGGTTATACGTCAGAAATTAATTTATATAATTAAGAGACTAAGAAAAATTTTTCAACGGGTATAAGTTACAGTGTTTCCGGGGTTTCACACATGACGGACAGGAAAATTTTTTGACCTATTTTGGTGTTTTTTTCCAATTCTATTGCAGTAAATCAATTTTTAAAAAGTATGGAATTAATCTCCATTAAATTATCTCGACAATAGTATGCAAAATATCTTGATTCCGTGAACTAATAGGGCTATAATAATAAAAATAGCTGCCAAAATGAGGCGAAAAAAATTTTTCGATCGTAAAGCACTCTCTGATGCTTCGCATCATGAGTCGTGCAAAAATCATTAAGCAAAAATTTTCTTATTCATAATCGGGGAATCTCGGCAGTCGCGTAGCGACTGCTGGTTGCTAGTATTAATCTCATGCTTCGCATTATGAGTCGTGCAAAAATATTTTTTCCATAATTTTTTTAAGCCTTAAACTAATTTTTATTTTTTTTACTAAAAACTTTCAAAAATTTTTAGCAAATTCAAGTTAGTTAAGTCATTCAACATTATATAAAAGGTTAAAAAATTCAAACAATAAGTCTTCAATATCTCAATTTATTGAACAAATACCACTTACAATCTTTACATCAATTAATTAAATTATCTCGCTTAATACAATAATGAATTTTGTATGAATTACTAACCTAACTTTGCTCTATCAGGCGAGTACTGAATGTCACAACAAGTTTATTATCAGAGTATATCAAAGATATCGGCATTGTTAGATCTACTTCCAAATTCACCAGAATTCTGGATTGATAATTACCATGGTGCGATTCAATAACGGTGGTTCCAGCGCGCGTCGGTAAGAGGTAGCAAGACGCCATAATTGTGGTATTAGACAACATATAACTTTGTCCCATTGATGTATCGATTCGCCACTTATTGGGAATTCGAATTTGGACATTCCATTCATTGAAACGCCTGCCAGGATTTGGCTCCAAGTTCCAAGAATTACGATTTTCCATCTGTCGCAAAAAATAATCAACGATGTATTCGTTCGGCTTGGTAACAGGATTGATGAATTTAGCCGCCCATTCAGTCGGGAAATATGCAAAAGAACTGTTGTAAAAGATAGCTTTATTTTCAACTCCGGAGAATGCGTTATAAAGATAGAACATTGTGAACTTTGGACTTGCTATTGATGAGAATGAATTCTGATGAGCCGGCTTCCCTACCGCCATACTTACGACCAAAACTGCGAACTGACCAATTTTAAGTAATAATTAGTACCAAATTTTATTATCACTATTATATTAATATTATATTATATTAATATTGATATATTATTATTATTATTATTATTATATTAAGATTAATAATTTTAAAGAGAACTATAGTTGTATTATTTCAAGAAATTCTTGTCTTGAATTCATGCTTCTTGGAGTGAGAGATTTAATCACTCCGATCGATAACATTATTACGAGGTTCAAGACTATATTATCGTCGATCGATACACGGAAAAAATTAAACTGTAATATTCACTCGAATTCCGGTTAATTTGTTATAGTTTCAAACAGTAAAGCGGACCATGGGGGTGGCAAAAATATAAATATTACAAAACTTAATGTAGAAAGTATAAAAGCCACAATTTTCATTTAATATCCAAAATAAGTGATTAGTAGCTGTCACTATAGTAAATAGCGATTCTTTCATCTTAAAAAATTACAGCTTCAAATAGTGAAAATTGCCATTTCAATATATAGTCGATATTATGAGGAGAAGGGGAACTCAGATGAAAGAGAAGGGGCTCTCACTCTGGGAGAATTTAACATTTGAAACAGTAAAAATTATACTTTTAAAATATACCTTTTACCAGTCCAAGCAAGTCAATAATTACAGTTTGATTTTTAGCGTTGCGTTTAAAATTTACCATTTTACTTTGTAAATATTGATGTTGCTAGTATTAGAAATTTACTAACTTTATTTTATACTTTTTACATATCATAAGATCATTTTTTAGGTACGAAATAATAAATATCAAAGTCTGAATACTTAATTATTAATTTATTATAATTTAAGATTTTAGAGATTCAGATAGCGAATATTACTGTTTGAAATAGTATTTTCTTACATATGTAAAAAGTAAATTGTAACGTTTAACAAATGGTAAATATTATAAAGTGAATAGTAAAATCACGATTTTACTGTTTGAAATGGTAATTTTTAGAAGTTGATCATTACTTATTATAAATCGACTGTTATTTATTACAGTTTACTTTTTCCGTGTACAGTGAAGCCTTTATTCAATAACGATTCTCTTCAATAAAGAATAATTTTATTTCATTCAAAGAATTATTGATTGTTGATTCAAGAACAAATTTTTTTATTTATAATATTAAACAGTTATATAAGTTTAAGTCAGAAAAAAACTTTGAAGTATAAAAATTTGTATTTCTCTATATGTCGAAAAATATTCATTAATACAGAGAATAGCAAAAATACAAAAATTTATATGCTTAAAACATGTAAAATAATATGTTAATTTTCGAGTCGCGCCATACTTGGAACAAGTCGGTAATATCTTGAACCAATGTTACCGTCTATCTTAATCCAAGAGAAAGAAATTCTTGGGCGAAGTTGTATATATCTTATTTTAAAACAATCAAGTTTCTTGATTCGAGAATCAATTTCTTAATTCAAAAGAATTGAATTACTTAAAACAAGAATGACATTTTAAAGAAAAAGTTACTCTTGAGTCAAGTCATTTATTATCAGTGTAGACTTACCAAAGAGGAGAGCGCAAAATTCATCTTGTTACTTTGTCAGACGAAACAAAACTTATTCTATAGTCAGTTACGGGCAACTTTTATACCATCAATTAACAAAGGAACATCAAATTGTCATTTTGGATTTTTCCATCATGAGTCATTTCTGACAATTCTAATAACCATTAAATTATTAAATTAATCACTAAAAAATCTCAAGGTCTTCCTTTGTGTTCATTGTTTTTAAAGGCGTTCTGTGAATGTTTTTTAGTTTTATCTTATCTTATTTTTGGTACACTTATTTAGAAACTAATACGAAAGATAGAGATAGGTAATTAATTAGCTAACTGCTTATTTTTTAGAGGGTGATTTTTTAACTTTTTGATGTAGCAATAATTTAATTATAAATTATTTGAATAATTCAAACCTAAAAATCATATCTCTAGTAGATAATAATGATATGAAATGCTTTTTTAAAGTGATAATAAATTTTTAACTAATTGTTTTTTTCGTACAAATAGAAGATTCTCTAAAACGGAGTTAGACAATTTGCTAATTAGAACGTCGATATTCAGAATAGAAATTTCTAGAATTTATATCTATTTAAGATATTCTTCGTCTCTTTTGGTCGTAAGTTATCAAAGCAAATGATGCTTAATGACTTAAAAAATTCTTGAGAAAGAATACAAGTATTCTTTTATCACTTATTACAATTTAATCAACTTTGTGACCTTGTGATCACCAATTTGACAAATCAGCCGTAGTTTTCGTGATTGAAAATTACCCAAAGTGGGGAATTCCAAGCAATAGTTTCATGTTCTTTGTGTATAGATTGCTATATAAAAACTGTTCGATATTGAAATTAAAATTAGAACAAGATTTATTTTGTTTAATTAAGCCGCAAAATGAAGCTCACATTTTCGTTTTTGTTAATCAATAAATCTGTTACTTAAATACCACATAATAATTATTTTATACAAATAAATTTATTCATTTGAGACAAAGATATCGTTTGTTAAGTGATTTATTTCAAAGGAGATTTGTAAACTATTGAAAAATCTGATTTTAAGGGGTTACATGGGTTTCACGGTTTCAAAATATCGATTTTTTTTGTCTTATTAAATTCTACAACATCTCTAGAATATTGTCCCTAAGTTTCAAACCGATCCGAATAATAGTTTTAAAAGTTGCACGCTCAGGGCGCTGTTGTATTGTCGCTCAAAACTTTAAACGCGTTTTTCTCAAAACTATGTTTTCAAAGACGGTTGTCAAGATTTCTCGAGAACTACTCAACCGATCTTGACAAAATTTTAGACAGGGTTTCGAGATATAATTTACAAGGTCTTGAATGAAGGATTTTTTTTTTCAATTACAACTATTTAAAAAAGAAAATGCCGCGAAATTTTAGCCAAATTTTTAATTTTTTTTGTAAAAACCTCTGCCAAAAATCCAATTTTCATTTTTTTTTTTTTTCCTCCGTTCAAGACCTACTTTGAAGTCTTAACTAAAGCATATATTTTTTTTTTTTTCACTTCTGATGATCCTGCTAGGAGTTCTGCTGTCCACGCGGACGCATCTTTTTTCCGAGGGCTCGCCGGAAATGACGTCACATTAGCAGAGTGTTTAATATTTTTTTTTTAATTTCAGTAATCTCTTATTAAACATGTATCTTTAAGACAGTAAAAAGTTTGAATAAAATATTTCATTTTTTCTATTAAAAAAAAAATTAGAAAAACGGTTCACCCTAAAGGCCATCCCTGCAACTTCCCGCCGATTCTATACCTAAACGCTTGAAATTGCACTTATGACGTTTTAGAGCTCTTCGAGCTTATAAATACAATTTGTGTATCATTTTGAGCTCTCCGAGCTCAAAAAAAATAGCTTTTGTATGCTTTTGAGCTCTTTGAGACCAATGCTGGAGATATGCTGATAACTCTTTCGAGGAAGAGCACCGACAAAGGTCAAACATTGAGAAAGACCATTGCAGACATTCTGAAAGAAGACGCAAGAGTAATCTGCAAAGGACCACAGGAGGTAATTGAGATCCGAGACGTCGATGATGACACAACTAAGGAGCACATCCAAGGTGCCCTACAAAAGGAAGCTGGAGATGGCTGTGAGATACCACTAGAGGCAATCAAGATCCGTAAGGCCTATAGAGGTACTCAAACTGCCACAGTAGTTCTACCAGCAGCAACAGCACAGTAACTACTGGATGGAAGTAGCAAAATCCGGATTGGCTGAGTTAATTGCCGAATAAGGGCAACGAAGAGACCTAGTCAATGCTTTGAATGCTGGCATTTCGGACATCATGGATCCCAGTGTAGAAGCAAGGTGGACCGATCGAAGCTTTGCATCAGGTGCGGACTAGAAGGGCACAAGATTGCTGATTATAAAAATCCAGCCAAATGTGCATTATGTGCGGAGATTGAAGGTGCAGAAAATGTTGCCCACCATGCCGGTACCTATAAGTGCCCGTTATTTCGGGATGCACTCCAGAAGTTGACAAACAAACAAACATGAGGATACTGCAGCTCAATCTCAACCATTGTGAGGCAGCCCATGACCTGCTCATGCAATCCGTGCGAGAACTAGAGCTTGATCTGGTACTGATAGCAGAGCCATATAAACACCTGAGTACTCAACCCTGGGAATCTGACAGCACACTCAAAGCTGTCATCTGGTCATGTGGCAAGCTCCCTTTCCAAAATGCAGTTGACAACAGCAATGCCGGCTTTGTAGCAGTATCAGTAGAGGGCATCCGCTTCTATAGCTGTTACGCACCACCTAGCCTCTCTACTGTCGAATTCACCGCATTTCTGGATCGACTTACCGAGGACGCGAAGCATTACCACCCAGTGGCAATAGCCGGGGACTTCAACGCCTGGGCAGTAGACTGGGGCAGCAAGCATACAAACGCGCGAGGAAACGAACTACTAGAAGCCTTTTCTACATTAGATGTAGTACTGCTCAACAGTAGTGATACACCAACCTACGCCAAAGGAGACGCAAGTTCTATTGTAGATCTCACTTTCGTCAGTAGTAGCCTCATCAAAGGTAATATGAACTGGAAGGTGATGGATACCTACACAGCCAGCGACCACAACGCGATTCTCTGGGAAATATTAAACGTCCAGAGCCCGAGAAGACCTAAAAAGCAACTTAACACCATTGGTTGGAAGGTAAAAACTCTTGACCCAAGTGCATTGTTAGTAGCTCTCAATAGTGACCAGATTATCGCGGGCTGCGCAGAAGAGAAGACCAAGGACCTAATGAAAAGAGTGAGCCAGGCTTGTGACGCCAGTATGTCTCGTAGACATGACATGAACACAAGACCTTCCGTTCACTGGTGGAACGACCACATCAGCGCCCTTCGTAAAGAGTGTCATCAGAAGAGAAGAATATCTCAGCGTGGCTACCGACGACCTAACTCTGCGGAGCTGGTCGCAGAGTACAAAAAAGCCCGTCGATCCCTGAACAAAGCCATCAAAGATAGCAAAAGAAAATGCTGGAAGGAGCTCATCAACGAGGTGGACAGAGATCTGTGGGGTAGGCCGTATAAGGTGGTCATGACCCATCTTAAAAACCAGCTAATGCCATTACCCACGTGTCCTCAACTCCTACAGAAGATCGTAAACGCGTTTTTCCCCGAACAAAGCGAGTTTAACTACTTATTAGCGCAGAATGAAGTGGATGACATTCCATCTGTCACGGAGGAAGAACTGATGGAGGCTTGTAGTCGTGTAGGGAACAATAAAGCGCCGGAATTGGATGGAGTCCCCAATATTGCTTTGAAAACAACTATAAAAACAGTGCCATCATTGTTCCTGGACGTCTACGACACATGCCTCAAGGAAGGGATTTTCCCTCGGAAGTGGAAGCAGCAACGACTAGTACTACTTCCAAAAGGAAAAAAGACACCAGAAGCACCGTCATCTTATCGACCACTTTGTATGTTAGACACGGCAGGTAAGATACTTGAGCGTATAATCCACCAAAGAATAGAAGCAGTTGTCGATCCACTCTTGGCAGACAACCAGTATGGTTTTCGGAAAGGACGATCAACCCTGGATGCAATCAACCTGGTTGTTGCAACGGCCAAGGAGGCAATCGAAGGGATCAGATGGAAGGGTGGAGCGAAGAAGTACTGCCTGGTGGCCACTCTGGACATCAAAAATGCCTTCAACTCCGCCAACTGGGACTGCATTATGCAAGCCCTGGAAGAGAAAAACGTACCAGGATACCTACGTAGAATAGTGGCTAGCTACTTCACGGACAGAATCCTGAGATACGACACGAAGAATGGTCCAAAAGAGTATGATATTACCGGAGGTGTACCCCAAGGCTCTGTTCTGGGTCCACTTCTGTGGAATGTCATGTATGATGGCCTGCTGAGACTGACTCTTCCAAGAAGTGTTAAGCTTGTTGCATATGCAGATGATGTAGCTGTCGTAATCGTTGCGAAACACCTAGATGAGATAAATCACATGTTCGGTATCACCTTTGAGAAAGTTAACCGGTGGATGGATTCAATGAATCTACAACTGGCTAAACAGAAGACTGAGGCTGTGCTTATTACCAGCAGAAAAGTGATAGAGACCATAAAACTGAAAGTCGGAGAGCAAGAAATCACATCACAACCATATATCCGATATCTGGGAGTGATGCTTGATGCCCGACTCAACTTTAAGCAGCAAGTCGAACACGTGAGTGCAAAAGCATCAGCAGTAGTAGCTAGCTTAACACGACTGATGCCAAACGTCGGAGGCCCAAAGCAGAGCAGAAGACTACTGCTATCATCTGTAGTCACATCAGTGCTCACTTACGGAATATCTATCTGGGCGGACGCACTAGAGAAGCAAGAATCATGGAGAAAGGCTGGACCAGTCTACCGTCTGAGTGCCTTAAGAGTAGCAAGCGCCTTCCGCACAATATCTATGGAAGCAGTGTGTGTCATTTCCGGAACTTTGCCTCTCAGAGTCGTAGCTGAGGAAAGACGGACTCTTTACCAAAGAAAGAAGTCAACCACACTAAGCGCTGAGGAGCTTAGAACAGAAGAACGACAGAAGAGCATAAGTCGATGGCAACTACAGTGGGATGCCGCAGAGAAGGGTAGATGGATGCATCGTCTCAAGACTGATCGAAATATTGCTAAATTAAAATCTGCCATTCTTTAGCCGCGAAGTCATTATTTATTATTTGCAGTCTCCAACTATACGTAACCTCAAAATTATTTCAAAACATTAAATTTTTCTACAACACATGTCTCAAGGAGCAAACGATTCTGAGCGAGAATGCAACGTAGCTAAGTCATAAAAAAGAAACAGTGGGATTATTTTTCTACTTCTGCGCATATGAGAGGAGGCGCAAAAGTGTACTGCATCTCAACTACTTCATATTGTAGTTATATAATGCTTTACATTGGGGCATATGGGGGGAAATTTTTCCGAAAGTTGAGAACTATTTTAGGGTAATACCTCCTTAAATCGGATAAGATGTTGAATCCGACTCAATCCGATCCCGTTTGCTGTCGGTAATAATGTATTTGCTTGTTAACAGCTGAGAGTTAAGTAAATTTATTAGTGAGTTATTTCTTTATCGATCTAAGCTATTAAGAATACCTCGATCGATACCCTGATAGCCAAACCGGTCGCAACTTTCCGTTGATTTGCTGCAGCAACTTGTCACCAAGTTGGCGGCAAGTCTTGGAAATGAACTCGGTTGTTCACCAAGTTGTCGGCAGAAATTGCTTTCGAAACTTTTTCGCACCAAGTTGACGACAAGTTTCTCGAGAAATTTGGCGACATATTGCGGCAGTAGATTGGTCTTGTTTTTCTCAGAAACTTGTAGCCAACTTGACGCCAACAATTACAAATTCGGAAGTTGACCGCAAGTTGGCGGTAAGTTGGTGGCAACTATCTGACACCAACTTGGTTGGTTTGAAACTGTAGCTATCGGGGTATATATTTATCCATAATTATAATTAAGATCTAAAGTATCAATCCTACTGTCCAACAATTGGTGCCTATTTGATTTATATAAAGGTACGATAAATAGAAATCCTTTTGTAAAGTCGATTAAAATTAGCTTAGAATAATTTTTTGTAGAAGTACTCATCAAGAGCTTTCATTTGAGTACCCATTTGCATTTTTTATATATTTTTCATATATACATATATATAATATATATAAATATATAAAATATATGAAAAATTGATGTGGGTACTTAAATGAACGGTCTCGATGAGAGTAACATCGGGATGAGCTTATATCTTTAAAAATGTCAATAGTTCACAAGATA